AGAAAGAAACTCTTCTAGAACATGGTCACACAACCCCCACAAAAAAAACCCCCACAAAAAACTATGGATGTTGGCCATGAAAGCCTTTGACTTCACAACATACAAGGAGTTGGTGTTTGTTGATGGATGGTTATATCTCTATAACATTATGATAGAAGTGTGAGCAAAATGATACAAAACGCTGTAGAAAAATAAAACAATCCCAATGAAAAACAAGTTTCCCAACCACTCATATGCACTACAATTGATATGTAAACATCAGTATAAACAATTGCTCATAATTGTGAGAGGAGGAAGTGTGTGTGTGAATGCATGTGCATCACAACCATATCTCAGTTCCATGAAATCTCAACACCTGAAAGAAGTTATGCATATAAAGGGGACCCTGGGATTTGCACCTGTGGTGTATCTGGGTTTTAAAAAAACACATTAATATGCTTTAATTAATTTTAATGCATCTAATTTTTGGTTGTTGTTTGTTGTAATACCATCTTCAGTCAATAGGGTTGATTTTCCTAACCAGCACATACCTGTACAATCTATACAGTTTGTACCAAGGGTATGTAGTTCAAGGGACAGAATTATAGGACTACTCTCTCTCCATCAAGTTGTAAACTAGGACAACCCATCTGTCATGGGATTGAAGGAGGGCAACATGGCAGTGGACATGCCTAAAGCTATTGTGAACTGTAGGTTGAGACAGATACAATATACCAAACTCTAACCCAGGAGTAGGCAACCTTGTTGAGCCAGGGGCCGGGTTGCTGTCCCTCAGACAACTGGGGGGCCAAAGCACCAATAATAATAATAATAATAATAATAATAATAATAATAATAATAATAATAATAATAATAAATTTAAAAAATTAAAAAATACACATGCACACTCTCTCAGCCCCAGAAAAGCCATGGCGAAACCCCTGTGGAGATTTTGCCAAGAAAACCCCAAGAACAAGTAATAACAACAATAATCAATATCATCATGGCAGGTGGCGGGGGTGGCGGCGGTGGCGGTGGCAGGACCAGCCTGGGGCTGGTCCAAAGGTCTTGGAGGGCCACATCCAGCCCCTGGGCCTTAGGTTACCTACTTCTGCTCTAACAGCTATGTAACTTACTTATAGTGTATCAAACTAATACCTATCCTAACCTTGCAAAACTGGATATTTTTGCTACTTTAACACATAATATTAAGAGTAAACAAATATTTACTGTTCTGTTGTCCTTTAAACAGTGGGCTAAACTAGACATTTTCAGAAATGCATAATTTAATTTTACATTTTTCGTTTCATTCCTTTAAATATCATTGGCATGACAGAATTAGGTTAAGGACCACAGCTTGAAGTGAAGGGAGTGAATATCTTTCTATGCATGCTGTGGTCCTGAAAAAATCCAGCTGGGAGGCCACCATGGCTGCTTTTTAGTTTTATAAAACTTATGGCCAGTCCAAAGCTTGCTATTTAAACAGACTACAAACTTACCTGGCCCTAAATATTTGATGTTTGGCTACTTCTGCTAGAATATGTTTATTTTAAAATCTCTTTGAATGTTCATGTTTTTGCATGAGTTTTATCTTCAATTAAAGGGTTTTCATGTCACCATGGGTTTCCACACAGTACACTTCATTTTCCCCTACCCAATGTTCAACAGTTATTATTAGGTTGCTCTGGAATTCTTCACATATCTTTCTATTCTAGACTAGCCTAAATAATATTTTTTTCTGACTGACCACACAATGCCTCTTGCCAAGTTATTTATAGAGATGCATCTACAGCTATTGCCCAACCAACCCACCATTAAATTCTCTGCCTATAGGGTTGAATCTAGGGAACTGGAAACAGGGGGGGG